ACACCACACACCACACACAACACACCACACACCACACACCACAGCGCAACGCAACACAACGCAACACACCACAACACCCACACATACCCACACACACCCACACCCACACCCACACCCACACCGACGCCCACGCGCGCACGCGCGCACCCGCGCGCCCACGCACCCGCGCACTCGGGCACCCGCGCGCCCTCGCACAAGCGCACAAGCGCACAAGCGCAATAGTACACAAGAACACAAGCACACAAACACACAAACACACAAACACACAAACACACAAAAACACAAACACACAAACGCACAAGCACACAAACACACAAACACACAGACACACAAACGCTCAAACACACAAATGCACAAACACACAAACACGCAAACACAAAAACACAAAAACACACACACAAACACACAAACACACAAACACACAAACACAACCACACAAACACACAAACGCACAAACACACAAACGCACAAACACACGAACGCACAAACACACAAGCGCACAAACACACAACCGCACAAACACACAAACGCACAAACACACAAACACAAACACACACAAACACACAAACAACTCACAAACGCACAATCACACACAAACACACACACACAAACACACACAAACACACACACAAACACACAAACACACAAACACACAAACACACAAGCACACAAACACAACAACGCACAAACACACAAACACACAAACACAAACACACAAACACACAAGCACACAAACACACAAACACACGAACACACAACCACACAAACACACAACCACACAAACACACAAACACACAAACACACAACCACACACACATACACACTTGCACACACTTGCACACTTGCACACTTGCACACTTGCACACTTGCACACTTGCAGACTTGCACACGCGCACGCGCACGCGCACGTGCACGCGCACGCACACGCGCACGCCCACGCGCACGCGCACGCGCACGCGCGCGCCCACGCGGGCGCACACGCGCACGCTCGCACTCGCACGCTCGTGCATGCGCACGCGCACGCGCAAAGGCACCCCGCACGCGCGCACTGCACAACGCACACCGGACACCGCACACCGCACACCGCGCACCGCACACGCACACGCACACCGCACACGTGCGCGCGCACGCACACGCACACGCACACGCGCACGCGCACGCGCACGCACACGCAAACGCACACGCACGCGCACATGCACACGCACACATGCACACACACACACACACCCATGCGCACACACACACACATGCCCATGCACATGCGCATGCACATGCGCATGCACATGCACATGCGCGCGCGCACACACAAGCACACACCCACACGCCCACGGGCTTTGGCATTCATACACGCTGCACTCGCACGTGCGCGCGCACGTACATGCACAGATACACGTGCACGCACATGCACCCTCACGCACACGCGCGTGCGCGCGTGCATAGGCACATGGAAAAGCGCTCGGTCGCATGCACACACCCGCGACTGCCTACACCCATGCTCACGCGCACATGCACGCAACGCGCGTATGCACACACACACACACACAAACACACGCAAACATGTAAGGGCATGCACACGCAGACGGAGACGTGCGCGTGCATGCACATGCACACGCACTAACAGCGATTTGGCCAATCGGCCCACGTCAGCATCCTACCCATGGCCTGGTCAAGCCCGGCAGATCATGCGACGGGATTGCCACGGCCTGGTTCCTGAGGCTTCTCCACGAGGTTCGGGGACCCCTCCAGCGACTTCTCCCTCTTCGGGGAGCGCTCGGCCGTGAAGCAGCGCGCTGCCTTTGTGTGGCTTTGGGACGTGGCGCCGGTGCTCACGGCGACTCGCTCGGGACCTCTATGGGCTCTGTTTGGGATGGTTACGCGGAAACCGGACATTTCTAGGAGTCCCCTATGTTGAGAAACACGGGTCCGATTGTATGTGCCCTGCTTGAGTGATTGAACCATCACCTTTTGGGCCAGTTTAGAACGTTAAATGACCAGGGCGTTTCAGCGGATAAGGACTCGTGACCGCAGTTTAGAATGAGTTTCCTTTCTGGTGGGGTGATGCTTAAAGAAGACATGTTAGGAACCCTGAATCGGTCTGGAATCCCCTGTCCTTTTCAACCGCAACTTGAGAGTTCCATGTAAATTCGCAGATGGTTCGTTCAAGGAAGGAGGGGGGTTCTTCATGTTGCTGTAATTGTTTTTCTTTCAGAAAGAACTGCATAATTTTTGCATTTCCCTGGCTTGGGTGTTGGTGGTCCGATGTTCAAAACAGGCATGTAAAGAACTCTGCAACAAAAAAAATGCGGGCTTGCCTGTATTTCCCTTTAACACCAGTTTGCGTTCTGGAAACGAGGAAATCACTGGACAACTTGTAATCCTCGCATGTCCTCGGCATCTGCTTCAAACGAGAGTGTTCTCCGAATTTACGGAACCCCTCTGAATGGGTGTTGTTTTTTTTGGCCCAAAATGGCGGGTTTCCTTTTGGTGTCCATTGAACCCCCAAACACAGGACTCAAAAGAACAAATGGTTGGGTTCCTTCTGGCTCCTTGAAGCTAAACTGAGGAGACGTTGTACGGCAGATGAATACCAAGAAGTGCCGCTCATGTCACGAATTGTGAAGCGATCGGTTGAATTACAAAGGATTGGTTGATTGGTTGTTTATAAATGAATGTCGTTGCGATCATATCTTGCCATAGTTACTGCGATACTCTTCAAATAATCTTCTGCTGAGCCTTCTCTTGAGGCAAAGGGGTCTAGGAGGCTGATCAAAGTGAACCTGTTTTTTAATCTTTGGCGACTTCTTTTTCCAGAGTGCTTGGTTAGACCCACCTCTCACTGGTGGTCCGGGCCGGCCAGGCAGTGATTTCCAGGCTGATTTGACCACATCTCTGCGCACTGGCGGGTTTTCTCCCTCCGCCATTTGGGACGCATGTGGCACGTGGTGCCAAACCTCCAGGTCTGGCTGTCCCTGGCGCTGAACCCGCTGTCACTGCTGGTCTTCAGCACCGCGGCGGTCTGCGCGGTGACCTGGGAGGCCTTCCCCTGGGACGGCACCCGCTACACCATGTCCCAGGCTGGGCTTGGGGGGGGGTGGCAAAACTTGGGGGGGAGGAAGTTGTGTGGTGTCCGAAATTCGTGGGCAACCAACAAGGAAGCCGTTTCAAGGAGAGGTTTTTTTTTCAGCAGGGAATGGCGCTGGTCGGGGTTATTTCGATGCATTCTACTCATTCGAGCGAGTCATTCTAGGGCCAAACAAGTTGGAGTTGCCCAACGTTGGATAGGCTCAGCGTAATTTGTACACAATATATACCCTCCCACCAACTAACATGGAAGTGAAAAAGGCCCTTTCCAAGAGACTGTAGTCTTTCTACAGAAGTCTGTGCACTTCCATGAATATATACCACATATATATATATATACCATACATACAATGTATAATGTGTATACGATATATATATATAATATTTATATGTATCATATTATATATATATATATATGTATCATATATATATATATACATATATATATATATATATATATTATATATATATATATATATATCCATGCACAAAATCAGGGGCGCATTGCCTGCTCGTAGCGGGAGAGCGAATTTCTCAGGCGGCGCGGCCGGAGCCGCTGCTGTGGGCCGCAGCCCTGGCGGCCAGGGGCTCAAAAAATCCTTCCGCGGAGCGCTGTTTTTTTGTTTTTTCCCCGGGGACGGGGGGGGTGGGGGTGGGGGGCTGGGGTTTCATTTTTTTCTAGGGGTTAAAGTCAGAGACTTTTTGTTTTTTTTCGTGGGGACTGGGGGCATTACCCTCCCACCAGCTAACATGGAAGTGCACAGACCCCTAAAAGGCAACTCTCCTCTTGGTTAGTTGGCCTTTTTGCACTTCCATGTTAGTTGGTGGGAGGGTATGTTATGTTTTTTCTAGGGGCTCAAAGTCATACACAGGGGTGGTTTTTCCCTTTTGACCCACTTAGGGGGTGACTTTGATTTGTACAATAGTGGGGCCAGGGGGATCTGCACAGTCCCCCCAAAAAGTGTCTTGTTTTAGGGACCCCCCGAAATGGATTTAAGGTTTTCCTTCTCAAAAAAGCAACACCCCTTGGTTTTTTTGCAGCTTCAGCTGGAAGCATGTTTATTCCATCAGTTTGGCGAAAGGGAGCGAAGGCTCTCCGCATCTTATTTGGTGGGCCCTTCCAACAAAGGTCACCCAGCGACAGCTTTGGGCTTGTGGAATACTTTTCCTTTCAGCTGCAAGCTGAGGGATGCTGAAGCAACTGGGGGTCTTCGTCAATCCAAGGGAGAGCTCGGTCAGCTTCAGGTAGGATTTGATGCAAAGCAAGGCCTGGGTTCCCGAGGGGACCCTTTCGGAGACCCTAAAGGGTTTGGATGTTTGCGAAAGCAGGTTGACCATGCAAGTGGGCGGGTGTCCCGCTCATCCCAAATTTGCGGCTTCTACTTACCCCCCCCCGCCCGAAGTCTCCCCATGGCTTTCCTTTAAATGTCCAAAAAAGGAGGCAGCTAAAAAAAAGAAATCAAGAAAAATAAAACAGCTTGAGGTGCATCACTCCCCCCCCCCCCCCGAGAACGCCCATGGCCCGCCCCCCTTTTGCCGAACAAATCTGAGGCTGTGACCTTCCTGGTCTCCGTGGCGGCAGCTTGGTGGCTGCGGCTCGGGGGCAAGCACGTGGCCAAGGAGCCGACTCCCAGCGCCGCTCGCTGCTCGACTCCTCGCCCTCGAACGACGCCTCGACTGGACGTGGTGCGAACATTTTTGGTTTCTCGGGGAGGGAGACGGGGCATGGGACGAACTGAGAGGAAGAAAAAACCGTCCAACTGGTTGACTAGTTGTTCCTTTGAATTTGGGGGGACTGGAGGAAAACGAATAAACATTCAACTGGTTGAGGTGGTTCTTTTTTTTTTGGGGGGGGGGACTGGGAGTTCATTCACACAAAAAGGGTCTCGGTCATTCTCTGCCTGTCTTGAAAGCAAGACAAATTTCCTGGAGCTCCGCCGAGAACGGAGGGCTGGCGCCTGGAAGGGGGGTGGGGGCTCATCAAGAAGGGGGGGTCGGACGGGGGGGAAGTCGGCTGGGCCAAAGAAGCGAACGTGGTTGAAGGAATCAGAACTGGGCACGTTGAAATGGATGACCATGAATCATGGGTCCTCAGAGGGTCACTGAAGCCAGCAGCTGAGTTTTTTTTTAGCTGTTGCTCCAAAAGGTATCCAATGGATATGAGGGCGGCCTGGTGGATTGCTCGTTTGTTTTTGGGCCACACAATTCTGAGAGTGCCGCTTGAACATGGGCACAAAGCAAGGGGGTCGTATCACCAAAACCCTTCTCCCCTCTCATGGAGCCGCGCTCCCGCGGACAATCTGGTCCCTCCCGGCGCCTGGAGCGCCGCTACACCGCAAAAAGTCATCTCCGAAAGATGGCCATGTCCTCTTGGGGAAGACTCAACGCATATGTCCGCGGCTCACCTCTCATAGCTTGCTGGTGGAATCGCAAGCTTGCCAGGAGGATGTCTACTCCTCCATCAGGCAGAAGTTGGATGGGCAAGACGTGGGTCAAAGCGAGTTGGTTCAAGATAGAGTTTGATTGATTCACATGCGGGAATCCTTTTGGAGTCAATGGGAACCTTTTCAGTGTCGACTTCTGAGCCCTACGGAAACTCCATCGATTTTTCGTAGCTCTGCAGGGAGCATGTTACCCGTTTTGTTGCTGGGACAGGTGACGCCTGTGGTCTTGAAATGTTTTGACAGACATTTCTCTCGCACTTCTGGTTGAATGAATTGAGAGCAATCGCATCATCCTTGTCAAGGAATACTTGGAGCATGTCCAAAGCAGTGCCACTTTGGGCTTTTTCGGGGCAATTTTGCAATTTTGGCCTGTCGTGGTATCCGTTGCTCTCAAACACCGCTGGTCTTTGGTCTTTTTTCAAAGGCGTTTTTGTTCATTATTTTCGTGGGCCATTCCTTGCCCTTCTCGAGGTTTTCTGGCACGCGCGCGCCAGGCCTCACGCGACGGCCATCAACCGCTGGCATTGGCAGCGGCCTTTAAACGCCATCTTCTTCGGCATCTTTGGGCTATGGCGGGCTGTGCGTCGCCTGTTGACGAGGTTGCTTCAGACCGTGGTACACATTCAAAGGGGTTGATCTTCCCCGAGCCAGTTGCAAGCGCTGAACTGGGAGGGGGAGGCAACATGTGCAAAGCAAGAGATTCAGGCGCTGTCGCCTTTTGACGGGAAGCCCAAACGAGGTTGGTTCGACCGTCGTTCAAAGGGGTTGGCCTTTTTCCCCGAGCGGGTGGGAGCAGCTACAAGCGGTCGGGGCAGCTGGACAGGGTTGCTAAACGCGGACAGACTTGCTGTGACGGAACATGCCGGGAAAGACTGTAAGACCCTGAAATCATATCTCATATCTCATGCTAGAATCTTGGGTATCAAGATGTGTGCAGGGAGCAAATGCTCGACTATACTGCCTATACTGGTAATTTATCCGACCTCCCCGGCCCTAGGGGGGGCGTGATGCAGCGACTGCCAAAGGGTCACCGCGCTTCATGGCGCTTCCAGTCAGCCGTCACAAAATGGTACCATTGGTCACTGCATTCCGAGTACATGGCATGCCGGGGCCCTTGTTGCTTGTGGCATTTTTAAGCCAACGGACGACACTTTTCGAAGCCGAAACCCCATAAAGCCTGCTTGCTCAGGGATCTTTTGAGATGGTGTTTAAGTAGTTGCCTATCTTAAGGCTGGAGGTCATTCAACCACATTCCCGGCAAGGCAATATTCCCGCAAGGGCACTCCCCTTTGGGTGGGCTACTTGGAGCGGCTTCGCCGGATGAGATTCGCTAGATCACTGGGACACGCCTAGCTCCTTCCCACGACTTGAGTTTGGGGCTGCTGACGGCGACTTTCCGTTTGAAGGGCACGTCCGGTGTTCGGAATCGCGGAATGTGGGTCAGCTTGGTTGAACATCGCTGCATTCCACAAGTTTCCCACAAGATCTTTGACACACATTTCCCAAAAGAATGTTTGTTTTTTCCACTTTGCTTCCTTGTGGGATCCATCCTAAGCGTTTCCGCGCGAGGTGCATCTTCCTCTGCATCGTCTGCCCGATCTTGTCGGCGCAGGGCCGGCGCAACTCCACATGCCAGGCAGGCAAAAGGCGGTTTGTGGAGGTTTCCGTAAAGCGGAACGCCGGCCTCGCGTTGAGGCATCAGGGTCAAACGGCTTGGTGCGTAAAACAAAACAAAACACATAATAATCCGCCAACGCTGTTGACAAAAGGGTCACCCGAAGTCCAAATGAGCAGCTCAGAGAACCGTTGACTTTCTCCTCCAGCGATTCACGTGCTTTTTTTTTTTGGGGGGGGGGTAAAGCGCAGCGGGTCCCCTAACCATCTTGGCCGCCAGGTGGGTGGTTGCGAGAGTTCTCCGGGTGTGGTGGCGGCCTGGCACGATGGTGCGGATGCGGATGTTGGGGCGAAATGCGGTGGAAGACATCCAATTCGCACCATCGTTCAGAAAGCCTGGGAGGATGAGTCCCCTGTGAATACCAAGAAACGTTATGGATTCAACCCTGCTTTCACAGTGGTGCGAACGGATGACGTCCATCCACAGTATGACACGCAGGATCTGAACGACTTTGTCTGAGCCATGCAGCCCTGTGAAGGATGTTGTTATTATTTTTTCCTCCAAGTGATCATTGTTCCTTAAGTAAGGTACTAGCGTTCTTCTCCTACGACTGACTTTGGTTTTATAGCTGTAGCACCCCACCACGCTTATGCATAGCGAGGAGGGCTTGTCTTTTGACAATTTCCCTTTTCCCCAAGAAAGATTGGGTCCTTAGTTGGATCATTGAAAGAGGAACCAACCAATCAGTTGCTTTTCTTGATTTGAGGATCCATTTATGCAAAGGATAGTCCAACCTGTGATCAGCCAATCAACGATCAGGGCTGGCGGTTTTGGAGAGTGTTCTGCTTCGTCTTCTCATGTGAGCTTCAGGAGGGCTGCATGCCATTCATTCGAGCGGTTCTGAACATTTTCTTCGGGATATGCGTGGTTTCTTTGAAAGAACGATGAGCGAATAGAATCGGAAACAGCCCCTCGGAATCTCACTGGTCGTTTTGCTACGTCGCACCCTTTGAAATACAGAGCATCCTGCAGCTTGCTTGACTCACAGGTTTCTGGGTCTTACCCCGTGAGCTATGCAAAGACAATAGATTCTAGCAAATTTCCAAGCCAGCTGCTTGAAGGCTTCAGGGCTGCCTGTTTCCGGTCGAAGGGACCGCCAAGCTCTCTTGATTCGGGTGTATCTCGAAACTCTTCGAAGACCGTTCCCAAGGGCGCCAAGTTCTGGATCACGTCTTCCACCCTTACTCCAAATACCAACTTATTTCCGTCTATGACGTCAACTGGCGAAAAAATAATAAATCCGGCATCTATCTCTACCACGGCATTTTCCCTGCCCCCAGGAAAAACTCGCCAGCAGAAAGCCACGGCCGGCCAAACAAATTCACCCGGCCGCCCGCCTTGGTCGCGGCTGATGCGTCCACCGTTCCGCCTCTGGTCGCGTCCAGCCTGGCGAGCGTCTCCGAGGACGGCACCTGCGGGGTGGGCAGCTGCAGCTGCGGCCTCTGGGCGGATCTGCACTGCGCTGCCGCGGCGGAGAGGTACTGCGCGGCCCGGGGCCCCGGGAGCGAGCGAGAGGGCGAGAGGGCGCGAGGGCGCGGGCATATGAGGCTTCCTTTTGCTGAAAGGAATGGATATACCGAGGCAACTGGCATGGAAGTGCCAAAAGGCCAACTAACCAAGAGGAAAGTCGTCTTTCCACAGGGGTCTGTGCACTTCCATGTTAGCTGGTGGGAGGGTATTTGTATTTTTTATTATACCTATTTTTGTATATGGTTATGAGTTTTTAATGTGGACCCCCCTGAAAAGTGGATGGTGGACATAAATCCCCACCTCAAGAACGTCCACCAAAGGGTCCCAAATCCATATTCATACCCATATATATATATATATATATATGCTACCCCCTGCTTGAAATACTCAGGTTTTTGGGCAGAACTGAGGTCTTTGGCCAGACTGGGGGTGACAAATGCCTTGAGACTCTGAAATGAACTGGACACTCAACTCCATGCAAATTCTAACCAAGCAGAAGTTAAGCTCAACGTTGATTAGGAGTTGCGAGCTGTGTGACCGTCACATTGGCGTGCGCGAAGTGCACTTAAAGTCACATTGGAGTATGCAAAGTGCAATTTGGCAGCTCCAGCTCAAAAAACACAACTTTTCAGTACAGGAGTAGTGCGCGAAGTATGTTTTGGCAGCTTCAACGCGCCTGTAGCAGCCCTATTATTTGGTGTTTATTATTTTTGTTTGGCAGCGAAATTCTGCAAAACATCAACTCGGAGAAAAGGATCTCATTCCTATGTCATGTCCTTGCGCAGTTGCATTTACATGCTAGCTCGAGTGTTGTGCGTAATTCCTGACATGCTAGTTCAGTCTATTTGAAACATATGTTGCAAAGCAACTATCCCACGTGTGTGCGTGTTGCTTGTCTAAGTTGGTTCCATCATCGCCAAGAACAAGTATTAAAATTCAAGTAAGGGAAGAATATCCAGCTAAAAAAGCTTTCGAGTTCAAACCAAATTCAAGTTTACACGTTTGCAGTTTCTTGTGAATTTCAAAAAGCAACTGGAGAAGATAGCTATTGTCATGGCTAAATGAATTTGGAACCAAACTCAATTTTGAAAGGGTTGTTGTCCTTATCGAACTCCATGTGGTTTGAACCAAGCAAGAACTGAGCCAAGCCCATGACAGGAACGTGTTTTCAATCACTAGATCCTATTCTTTGCATAAATGCTGTAAAACGCAGTGTTTTTCAGCATTTGCTCAGATCGTGTTGCTCTGGATCGAAGATCGAATATACAAGATTCCACAAACATATGTTTAGAATATACTCAATCCTGGTCCCCAAAAAACTTGACAGTTTGTTCTAGACTCATTAAGGTTTCGCCCCCTGCATTGAAGATTGAAGATCTACCAGATTTTCTATTTGAGAATCGTCCATCCTGGCCAGCCCTCAAGTCCACAAAAAAACTGTAAAGGTGTCAGCAACATTTTTGCCCCTGGCCAATTGCAGGCTGCACATCCACATTTTGATTCTGACAACGTGCCGGTCTGCCTTTTGGATTCTTCAAATCCGCACTTAAGGCAATCCAGGATCTGGATGGGAGATTGAAGACCCTCTGACAACTCTTTCTGAAATTCTCCAAATATGTACTTAGAGTAATCCAGGATGTGCTAGCACGTGCTAGCACATCCTGGATTGAAGATTGAAGATTGAAGATTCTCAGACCACTTGTTCTGGAAATCTTCAATCCATCCTGAGGACAAACTGGTATGTGCTAGCACGTGCTAGCACATCCTGGATTGAAGATTGAATATTGAAGAATCCCAGAGAGAGTCGTCAGAGAATCTTCAATCTTCAATCTCAATCCAGGATGTGCTAGCACGTGCTAGCACATATCAGCTAGTCCTAAGGACGCATTGAAGATATCCAGAACAAGTGGTCTGAGAATCTTCAATCTTCAATCTTCAATCCAGGATGTGCTAGCATGTGCTAGCACATTTTGGATTGCACTAAGTACCGATGCTAGAATTTAAGTCTAAAAACGAGTGCATTTTTAGACCTCATCTTAGAAGCTGGAACGTGTGTTTTGCATGCATTTGTACAGGCAAAATGTCAATTTCTGGCCAAACACCTGAGTATTCCAGGGGGGGTACCATATATATATATACACAGTTTTTTCCCCGGTTGGTTTTAAAGGGAGTCGATTTCGTCTGGCCTTTCTTTTTTCTGTCGCCTACCATCGCCTTGAGAGCTTGGTGGTCCAAATCCCATGGTCAACCGGAGTTCCCGCTGGGTCCGTTTTGATAGTTTCCAGCTTGCGAAGATCACCGGGACCCGCTCTCATAGTTTTGGGACCCGGCTCCCCCACGAAAAAAGAAAAGCACGAAGAAAAGAAAAACACGCCGGGGTAGGACCCCATTGTAGGCCTGGCTTTCTTTTGGTCTGCCTTGACGGCTTGCAGTCCACTTTTCCACGATTCGGAAGATTCATTGGAAGCCGCTGGAGCATCCTGAGTGCCAAAGGTGACTCGCCTCGATGACCTCGAGGGGTATTCATTTTAGCGAAGCGGAGTGGGTTCGTTGCTTTGCCGTCGGCTTGTTGCCTTTCCGATCCTATCAGAGGAAACAAGGGCCAAGGAGGGGAGTTAGGCTGGCAGCCACGGAGTTTTTGTGGCGGGTTCTGGGACTTCCTCAAAAAATTGCCCGAGCCCCGACACGCAACCCTTCCTTTTTGTTTGACCCCTTCCCCTTTTCTGCGCAAGGCCCAACCTTCAGGTGACCTCTAAGTGCTTGGGCTTTTGTTTCGGGGCTGCCCAAATTACCAAGGTTGATCAACAACTCCAAGGGTTGAACGTGAAAGCCAAGGTTCAAGAAGAAACCCAAATCCCGAACCCCAAAACCATAGGTGTCCTTCTCAGGTTAGTTTGGTCAGAATAGATGAGTCGTTTAGATCTGGTGGTTTGTCTGCATCCGGGGAAAGCCGCCGATTTTCGCAACACTTTGCTGGTGCTCAGGGAATGAGGGAATTAACCCAGGAATTGGTTCCCGTAAAGGAACCACCAGTTGGATGGTTCATAGGGGTCACTCCCTCCTTCTTTGTGGTCAGGGCCCATTCCATGTCTCCTTTTTCTGCCGAGCTCCAGGAAACGGGCGTCCCACCACCCGTCCAGAAGCCCAGCTTCCGACGCCTTCCGACGCCTGCAGGCGGTGGACTCCCCGCTCTGTGCGGAGGACAGCTCGAAGGCGAGCGGCGCCCACGGGGTGCTGCTCTTCACCTCGCGCCTTGGGACCGATACGAGCGGGAAAAAACCGCGGAGAGAGCACATGGGATGTGGGTTACGGCGGTTTCAGTCTTTGTTTCCATCTACCCTTGGTGAACATTGGGTTGATTTTCATTGGGGACCCTTTGGTGAAGATCATTTACATGGGTTGTTTTCAACCACTTTTGAGGGGGTTTCCTATTTAAACTCATGGCTATATGGGTGTGGGGATGTCAAAGGCAGAGATGGGGATGGGTGTGGGTCAAAAAAATACTTTGGTGCAGGTTGCCAAGGGATGTTGGGACTTTAACTTTTTGCCAGCTAATGGGTTTTCCGTATCAAGCCACCAAAAAGTTGAACTTGTCCCTGGTAATTGGAAGCAAGGACTAAAATCTTTCTGTCGCTGGGTGGTTTAATATTGACCCATACGCAGATGGGTCGGTTCTTCTAGGCTTCCTAGCTTGGGACGTCCCCCCGTCTTTTTTTTTGAAGCAACTAGATTGCCCCTGTAATCCAGCATTGGAAGGTAGGTTTCCTTCGGGGGGGGGGTTCTAGGTTGAACATTGATGGGGAGGTTCGTCCCACCGGGTCTTTTTTCGGGCTTCTGTAAGGTTCTTGGCTTGAGATTGTATATAATCAGACAGTGGACGGGGTTTTTGAAGAATATGATTCCATCCTTTTTCTGGCGCTCCTCTCGGCCTCTCTTTGTTTACCCTGGTGTTGACCCATGAGTTGGCCTTTGGGCGGGATCCAACTCTATTCCCGTGTCCGAATCAGCTTCTCCTTTTCGATGATGCACTGCTTGGGAGCTGAGGGGTCCTGAAGCTCGAAAGAAGTTTCTGAAGGGACCCTTACGTGTGCTTCTTCCCTTTAGGGCTGGGGGTTCAGCTGCTTTGAGATCCCATGTCCATTCCCCTCAACTGGCATCACTCTTTTAACATCATACATGTCAAGGTTCACTGAACGTGGGACATTGCATAATTTAACAGGTTCATTCGGGTCCTCAAAATGGGTCAACATAAGGGGACCCACAATGGTGGGTTTCACTCAACACAAAATCACACCCATGTAGTTGGCAGCAAAGGCTGATGGATGGACATGTTTTTGGTTGGATTCCTTTTCCAATCCCGTTGAAAACCATCCCAAAAGGGAGATCCTTTCTTGCGGCATTTCCAGTTGTTCAAACAACACAATCTGGGTTGCGCGCACTGCCAGTCTCGCTGAGTTTTGGCACTCTTCTATTTTACAGCTCGCTTTTCCGATTTGTCCAGTTTAGGTTTCGCTGGAAAAGAAGCGAGGGGATCACTGGGAATTCTGCAAACCACTTGGGTATGGGTCAAGTTTAAACCAAGAAGTGGCGCAGGCCAAGTCGTCCAGTTTCGATTGACCAGGGCGCTTGCCATCCATTTCGGGTTGCCAACTACTTTTGACCACCGCCGCCGCCGCCGCCGCCGCCACCGCCACCACCACCACCCACCACCCACCCACCACCACTACCACCACTACTACCACTACCACCCACGACTCGATCTTTTTTGTTTGGCTTTTTTCTTTCGGCGGCGCGCTCTTCTCCGAGGGCCGGCAGCGCGGTGGCGCTGCTCTTTCTCTTCGCCGTGTGGTGCCTGAACCACCTCGCCATCCTCTTGGCCTGGCGCCGGGCCCGGGGCCCCGAGCATGGCCTCGCGAGACGCGAGCAAGCGGGTCTCTGCATGGCCTCGCCGGAAAACGGTGGGGTCGAAAGGGTGGGAGCAGAGAATGGAGGCAAGAGACTGGTGGGTGCTTCTTTCAACAAAGTTTGGTTCGGGCTCTGTCAAAAAGTTTGGCGTGGGTTTGCCTATTTTGAGCTCGCTTTTGATTGCCTCTCAGCCAGGTCCGGAGGTTCCAACTCGTGCCCTGCCTATGGAAATCGCCGGAGTTTTGACCGGGTTTTCTGAGAGTCCTTGGACAAGGGGGTGCCCGAATCGCGGCGAATGAATTTCCATGTCGGGTGATATTGATGGGGACCAGAGCCGCGATCAAAACCTGGGGACAGTCCCATGATTCTTGGACTCCTTTGAATGGTATTTCGTGGACCAGATGGGTGTTTCTCAAAATTCGGCTAGCCAGGTGGTCGGTTTCCTCTTGCTTTGCCTTATGCAAACAGAGGTTTCCCATGTTGAGACGGACCAGATGCGTACTTGCGTTCCTTGGGCAATCTGTAGTTTTTTGTTTGGCGCGGAGAAAATGCATCATTGCTGCCTGGTTTAGCACAGGGTTCTGTTTCCTTGTTGAGCAGTCATTGTAGAGAGGCCTGCGCAAACCTTTGCAATCATCTTGGCATGCCGATGGGTTTCGAGCGCTATTTTCACTTGACTTAGGTTTTGGTCATTGTATCGTTTACCAGCCGAGTGATTCATGGTTTCCTTAGCCACATCCGCATGCGGCTGCGAGGGCGAGTCGGACATGAACCCGGCCCTGAAGCCGGACAACCTGCACTACAACAAGCCGCTCGCAGCAATGGGCGTGGGAGGCAGCAGGTTCTCCGAGAGCTTTTTCGTGCGCTGGGCCGGGAGTCGTGGCCTTGTGGTTGGCCTTCGTGTGACACGCTTGCAAGAAGGTCTAAGCACAGGACAAGCTTCAACCCATTTTTTGGGGGGGGCGCGTGACGGCGCCTGGCAGCTCTGCAAGTTTTTTTTCTTCTGTGTGTCTACGCCCAAGGCTTTCCGCCAGTCGTTTGGTTTGTCTTTCGAAGTGCCAGAGCCCTACGCCTGGGTGTGGATTACCCATGAAGCAAGGCGTCGCATTGCACACTATGTGTTGTGGTTTTATGGCTGACTAACTTACTTGTCTTTCTTGATGGTGCTCGGGGTTGTTTTGAAGGAACAGTAAAGGAAAAGCACCCATTTCAGGGATTCCCTCATGTTGAGACAATCTGGCTTACTTGCATTCTGGCTAGAAAAAGGACAGTGCCTGAGACACAATCACATCCCCCAATCAAAACGGCAGATGACAAGTTGCGAAGATCCCAACTAGAAATGTGGATGTTGGTATCTCTGTTGATGCCAAGTTCTTACTGCTCTAAAAGGAGGTAGGGGGAGTCATGGCAAAAAAGATCAGGAGGATGTCGCGGATGTGCTCTTTCTACCTGGGAATTGAGTACCCGTCTTCTCAGCGGCCTTGTTTGCCACGGTGAGTTACAGGGGCCCTTCTACTGCGATCATCACTTTGACTTTTTGGGGTTGAACATCTCTATTCCCTAACGCACATGAAGGTTTGGTTTTGGGGGAATCCCATATATGGCCATGGAACATCCCAATCCAACCACTAAAATAGGTTCTAAAATGGGTGGTGAATTCACCTACCCCAAAATGGTACCATTGGTTTTGACAACCACAGCCATATTTTCGAGCTCGAGTTCTGGCATTGCAGACGGATGTCGCCATCCGTTGCCAAGCCCATCCGTGGCAAGGATCACCGTGACCTTAGAGCCACCTCAGCGCGGCACTCTGGTCTTTACCGTGGCCGCAGACGAGGCTCCCGGTTTGCGGCCGCCCGTTGGCCAGGGTCCGACCACCTGGGCGTGTCTTAGCCGTCTTTTGACCTACCCCGAAAAGGAAAAGCTGGTTTTCGCGGTTTCCTTTTTTGAAATAACATCAGAAGCGTCCCACAAGAAAGTCTGACCGATGTTTCTCCCCTTTGGCTGGAACATCATGGCGTGATTGCCACTTCAATTGAGTTTAATTGAAGGAGTCTAAGAGCTCTAGGAGGCAAAGGGTTGAAAGCTCGGTATGAGCAAGCTTTCAACCAACCGGGTTTCCCAGACGCTGCATCTTTTGGGTGCCCAAAAGGAAAGTCCTCAAAATCCTTGTTCAATGGGGAGCCGCTTCCTTGTTGGTGGCCCGAAGGGGTCCAAATCAAGGCGGAGGGGAGTGTTTTTCCTCGTTTTACCACTATAGACTTTTTCCGGCCACCGGCCACCGGCCACCGGCCACCGGCCACCGGCCACCGGCCACCGGCCCACCGGCCACCGGCCACCGGCCACCGGCCACCGGCCACCGGCCACCGGCCACCGGCCACCGGCCACCGGCCACCGGCCACCGGGCCCCCGGCCCCGGCCCCCGGCCCCCGGCCCCCGGCCCCCGGCCCCCGGCCCCGCCGGCCACCGGCCACCGGCCAGTTTCCGGCCACGGGTTTCCGGCCACCGGCCCCCGGCCACTGGCCACCGGCCCCCGGCCGCAAGGAAAGCTCACGCGTTCTTTACCCAAGCTCCTGCTGTGTTTGCAGCGGCGTCTTGGAAGCCCCCGCAAGCGTTTCAAGGCACGCGCGGCCGCCTCTATGCACTGGTGCACCGCGAGCTGGGTGAATACCTTGTTCATGTTGTGAACTGTGTGACCCAACGGGCTGAACACGGAATTCACCGATTCTGCCCCGACATCGCCCAGCAAGCGCTCGTTTGCTTCCAAGGTCGGCGAGCTCACAGAATCTCCCCTTGTTACCACCGCGTGAAGGCGGTCAGCGTGTCTTCTAGCCGGCGCGCTACGTTGGAAGCCCAACAGTGCTGCAGGCAGAACAGCTTACTTCAAATGACAGATGTCATCTCGCACCACTGTCTGCAAACTGGGCAACTGAGCGGCCACTTGACTTAGGAAGTGGTATCGCTGCAACAGCGACTCTGCTGCAATGACCTCGTGTAAATCGAACATCAAGCTTGCAGTGGCAGGGGTGCGGAATCGTAGAAAAGGCTAGAAGCAAGCTGTAGAACGCGCTGGCTGTGGAACAACGGGAATGGGAGCCCGTGCGAACCTCTGCCCTGTCCAGAAAACAATGCCGCTGTTGTGCCTTTCATGTGTTTTCCCCAGCTGCTACGCGCCTCCAATGCTAACTGCCAGAACGAGCCCGGCAGTTCTGGCTGCAGCAGCGATGTGCTTCTGAGACCCCTTGTGTGTATTGCACCTGTTTTCGCCCGAGGCCAAGAACGTTTTCGGTCGCATTTCTGCCGGCGTGCTTGCGCCCTTCGCTGCCGCCTGCGCGACTCAACACGAGCGCTTCGCGCCTTCGACAGATGAGAAACATTGTGTGATACCTGCCCGAGTCTAAAGGATGACATGGTTTCGATCTGACCAAAGCAGCGGGGAGCGTCTTTTCACTGACCGCGCAAGCTGGCCAAATCCTGCCAGCTGAGCTTCGCGATGGCATACATCGTCAGCATCGTGCAGGGCTCGCTTCAGACGGTGGTGGCCAATCTCACCTCGACACGGGCGTCCTGGCTGGTCTCGATCTGCTGCGTGCTTTTGATAAAGTGTGTCCCTGCTGTGTGGTCGGCGGCTGCATGCGCGCAGAAGCAGCTTGCCCACGTGCGGGGAGCGGAGCACCTCGAGAAATGGCACGCCGCACGTCTGCCTGTGAAGTTGGCAGTTGTCGTCCATGGCTAGGATGTCCTGGCGGTCGCCAGAGGCAATGAGCTGGGAATGTCGCGCAGGGGAACTAACAGCAGTGCAATCTCCTAGCACATAATAAACTAAAAGCACAAACGACCAACGACCACCGGCCCCCGGCCCCCGGCCCCCGGCCACCGGCCCCCGGCCACCGTTATCGGCCACCGGCCACCGGCCACCGGCCACCGGCCCCCGGCCACCGGCCACCGGCCACCGGCCACAAGAAAAAAATCTATCCCCCAGTTGGCATGGACTCCAAGGTGGCGGGCCACACGGCGAAAAGGAAAACAAAACCCCCCGCCAGGATGTGGGCGAGCTCACTCGGCTGCTGCTTCCGGAGTCTAGGCCTGGGACTCCCGAGGTTTTGGACATGAAGTTGGAATCCGCTGGTTTCTAGGTAAGCCCGTGGTTTGTGGCTTGCATGGAGTTGGCATCCAACGGTTTCCCTTTGATCTTTCTTTCACCATCTGGAAAGGGTGTCCGTTCCACTTAGGGTGCAACGCAGAGCGCGGCGCTCGTTTTGTATCAAACTTCTTTCTCTTGAACCAGGCACTTGGACGATGGTTATCTGATGGTTTCCCCCGACTTTTGGAAACTATCTCAGATACCCCTTAATTGGTGGATTGATGGTTTGGGGTTTGACCCCTTTGCTCTTTTAGAGGCTCCTAACCGTCAAACCACCAATCCAAGCTGTAATTTTGTGGGAAGCCGAGCATCGGGTTCCCATCGAATCCATGAACAGGGCCCGCTTGGCAAGGCCTGTGCAGCCACCTTTCGACTTCTATTTTACTTAAAGCTACAAGGGATGGATAGGTGGTTGAACAAGTGTTTGAAGCTAAAGCCGCTACATGTGCCAAAGATTCTCGAAAGCTGTTCCTTTCAAAAGACCTAAAACGCTATTCACCCGGTTTGGTGAGCCGTTGCGCTCCCCTCGCAGTGTTTGGGCGCCGCCCTACCCGCCCATCACCACGCTGGAGCCGCTTTGGCCCGGGGACGAGGCCGGGACTCCGGTGGAACGGACTTGTTAGAAGTCGTGCCCAAATTTGGGTGTGGGTCAAAATAAAACGACCAGTCTTTGGTTCCATTTTACCAGGGTTCTATTTTGGTACGCATTTTTGACCCACAGCCATTTGGGGTGGGTGGGCAGCCCATGAAGCTTCAGCCACGAAAGCTGGATGGCGAAAGAAAGCGCATGTGCCAGGGGACCAGCTTGGAAAGCATTTGAAGCAACTCCTCTTGAGCAAATCCATTTGCTTGGAAGCCGTCTTCGGAGGTCCGGGGACTTTCCCAGGCCGTCGATTTGTGGCTTCCTTCGATTGCCAGGTCCGAGGAATGAATCCTTGCGTCCGAACTCGGATGGCAGGTCCCACTTTTGGGCGATTTCATGGGTCCAGCACGGGAAGGGGAGGGGGGGTGGGGCACAAGGGGCCTGGGAACTCCGGAAGCTTTCCAGGCCCCGTTTTTTCAAATGAACAAATCGGGAAGGACGCTGACAAGGGCATGATGATGAGCATTGACACGAACAAGACCCAGAACATCACCAAGACTACGAGCAACAGCAAGGACAACAGCAACCAGCAACAGCACCGCAGCTGCCATCACCAGCAGCACCAGCAGCACCAGCAGCACCAGCAGCACCAGCAGCACCAGCAGCACCAGCAGCACCAGCAGCACCAGCAGCACCAGCAGCACCAGCAGCACCAGCAGCACCAGCAGCACCACCAGCACCAGCAGCACCACCAGCACCACCAGCACCAGCAGCACCAGCAGCACCACCAGCACCAGCAGCACCACCAGCACCACAGCACCACCAGCACCACCAGCACCACCAGCACCACCAGCACCACCAGCACCACCAGCACCACCAGCACCACCAGCACCACCAGCACCACCAGCACCACCAGCACCACCAGCACCACCAGCACCACCATCTTCTCCACCCGCACCTCCACCTCCCCCTCCACAACCAAAAGGGAAGAAGAAGAGGAGGAATGAGAAGGAGAAGGAGAAAGGAGAAGGAGAAGGAGAACGGAGAAGGAGAAGGAGAAGGTGGAGTTGGAAGGAGGAGGGGAAGGAGGAGGAAAAGAAGAGGAGGAGAAGAAGAAGAAGAAGGAGGATGATAAGAAAAAGAAGAAGAAGAAGACGAAGAAGAAGAAGAGGAAGAAGACAGCAAAGGCGACACAAGCACACAATGAACAACACAACAAACACAGTTGCAAGATAGGAAGCACAGTGGGTCCCGCAGATGTTGCCTAAACAAAGCCGCGCTCCTGTTCCGAGGATCCAGACCTCCTGCTGCGGAACCCCACCACCACGCAGATCCCCGCGGATGTCCAGTGGGACTGAGGCGCCTCTGGCGCAAAGACGTCTTCCATTGGGAAGAGCCCGGGGAAACCGATGGGAATCCAGTCAGTGGCCAGCCAAGAGAGAAGCCAGTAGAACCCTCCTAGTACAGGTCTATTTGGAGATGGTCTCAACCTCAATGCGTTTTTTTTTTGGCCGCCCGGTATTTTCGGCATCCGCGGAAGAAGGCTTCAAGGCATTGGAGCAAATCGAGGACCAAATCCATAGATACTTGTGCGGTTTCCGGGGGCAAGCAAGAGAACTGGGGCAGCGCCGGGGAGTCCGCCAAACGCGGAGGTGTCGGGTTCCCAGTTCTGGGGGGGGGATCCGGAAGTTGCGACGGCTCCGTATGTTTGTACACTTTGCCCACCTTCAGACTGCGGATTCGTGCTCTTTCATGGCCATGTGCTCCTCATACGCATCTTACTTTTGGCTGGCAGCTTTGCTTCGAGCAAACCACTGGCCAAATCCTATGCGTCGAGCGCTTTGAATCCGCGGATTCGCACGCAGAATCGTTCGCACTTCACAGTCACGCCGCGAAAGCTTCCTCGTGGCCCGCAACTTCGCCTCAGATGCGTGCAATTCGCCTGAATTCGCGTCGATTCGGGACACTGCGCTCTTGCTAAGGGCAGGTCAGTGTTTAGCAGGGCGCCAAGGATATCAAACGACAGACAAGCATACTGCAACAACTTGGTTGCCTCGAACATGCCAATATGAACAATTGCCAGAAATCCGTATGTTTATGGCCATCTTCCTTTGGCTATGACAAACCACCGGGCCGCTGGGCGCTTGCCAGATCTTGGCTTGCTACCTTGGGTGGGTTCGTTTCATGCAGTTGGTGCCACGGGAAATTCACCTCGTGCCGGCCAGGCGCTCAGTAGTGTTTCACTTGAGAGCCCGCTTGCCGCTTGCAAACGCATCCGGCCGGCATGTGTTGGGTGCCTTTGCGCGAGGGCATTATTGCAGACAGTATGATCTGGGTTTTGCAGCTCATCTAGTTTCCAGCGCCTGAATTGCAGATGCAAGCTGCGATGATTCAAAGGCGCCCGAAGCCACGTCTCGGGCGTGTAGTGAGCCACCTGCAAACCAAATGTGCGACGTTTCACTAGTGCATGTGGAAGGATTGGTCTCACCAAGATCTCGTTCAGTTCAAAACGGACCTTGGCCCGGCGCGCCACCAGGCCCTTTGAGACAAGCGCGCTTGAATGTCCCAACTAGTTTTTTGTGGAAAGCCCATTTCACCAAACCAGCTGTTTGATGCTTGTGAGTGGGCATCCTTCACTTTTAGCAATCGCCGGAACCTTCAATCGTCAAGCTACATGTCCTTTGCTTGCATGGTGGCTGGAATCAATGGTGTCTTTCCTCCCTTTTCAAGCATGCCTTGCGTTCCTTTCCTCCATGCTGCAACGGAGCAATGGGGAATCATGGCAGAAATCAGAGGCTTGAGGCTGGCGTTTGTCTCCTTCAGCGCCTTGCAAGGAACTGTGGGCACAGTGTGCTGTTGTGGGCCAAAGTCAGATCCCAGTTGCATTTTGGGTTCCCAAAAGTCTGCCTTTGGGGCTTTGGTTATGGCCCCTTCGGATTGAACCGTGACCCTACAAACCAAAGGGAGGGAATTTCTCAGCCTGGAAGGCTGGGAAGCGCCTTTTGAATTCTCTTCCCAGCGCAATGAGAGTATACTTCCCACTGTTCCAAGGAGACTATCTATCCCTTGTGCGGAAATCATTGGGAAGCCTTTGGCACTGTGGCACAGTGCCCCCCCTTCTCCACCGGCCCTCCAAAGCTTGCAAGTCCTTGTCTGGGGGAACGTTTCAGTTTCGTTTCGCAAGCAAACCCTAGTTCTGACATAAACACACACACACACACACCCTCGCCTTGAGCCAAAGTGTAGCACCGCCTTCCGAATCGTAGCTGTTTTCTCTCAGCGACTGGGACACAATCAAAGCACTTGCGGCCATGAGACTATCCTTGGGGTTGGTTGAAATGGAGTGGGTGTTTGGGTCCCAAGACAAAGCCACACCGGTCATGTGCACCTATCGCAGGACCTGGGAGCTCTGAAAGGGAAGGATGAACGTATGTCCAGTAAGATTACATTGGTCTTGAAACACATGTCTTCATTTTGAGAGCATTGGCGCCACAAGGCCGGCCATGTTGCGGAAAAGGCGGCGTCCGCGCCTTTTTCTTTTTCTTGGCTTTGGCAAAAATTCGTTTCACGCCGAGTCGTGGCGAAAGGCGAGTCTCCATCGATCGCCTCCGGCGCCATGTGTGATGCTCGCATGGCTGCTGCTCAATGTGCGCGAGGGTTGGAGGATTTTGGTGTCCACATCTGTTTCTTCCCGAGAGAACAATTGCCAAACATTTAAACGCCTTCTTGCCGTACTTGCCGTACTTGCTGTTTTTGCGTTTGTGCCGAAAGCATAGGGGTTCCAACAGGTCCCTGCGGACTTCTCTGATGGGATGGGTTTTCAGCAATTCGTTGGGTTCAGATGTGAGCTTGGGTGAGCTGAGCTTATGCCTGTCCTTGGGAAACAAAAAGAGCCAATGACGGCTCCTTTATTGGCACGCCCTTGTTTGAGGATCGGCGAGTCAATTTCTTTCGCACAGATCCTTCAACTGCCCAGACTTGCATCAATTATCCTTCGCTGACGAAGCTGACTAAGGCCCTCTCTTGCAGGACCTGCAGCTTCTACCATGCTAGGAGGGAGGGGAGCGTGTTTCGGCTTCGAGCATTGCTCCAGGTATGCGCCGCGCAGCGCCTGAAGGAGGGGGTGCTTGCAGGCTAAGAGGAGTGCCGAATGGAAACCGAAAAGCAACCGCTTGCCAGGTGTAGCATCCCAGTTGCCACACTTCTCCTCTGGACAATGGCGAAAAACAGCCCTCAAACATGGCCTTTGCTCGCCGGCATTGTTTGAGGGACCTCTGCGCATGGGGACTACCAGGAAACTGGCGTCCCTTTCATTTCAGAACCGTTTTGGTCCGCATTCCACTTGCAAGTTCTTCAAGGCGGTGTGTATTTTGCGCACCAGTTTGCCCTTTTTCTTCGGCCCACATTTTCTGAAAATGGAGACATGCGCCACAGCTCTTACAGGTCCCCAACAAGGGAGCCGTGCTTTTTTTGATTCCATGTCCATCTTGACACTTTTTGGCTGCAGGAATACAACCTTTGGGTTTGCCGCGGGCTCGGTGTGAATGCCATGGATCAAGCTTCTTTGTCAGCCTTTTGGAGGTTGATACTTGTGTCCCGGGGCCGGGTTGTCGCTTTTTGGTCGGTGGCAAAGGAAAACTGAGAGGATATAAAGGGTCAGTGAGTGTTTTGCATTGCCAAGACCAGGGGCCATTTTTTGAGCACCAGCAGCGCTTTCAACTTAGCAAACTTGGCTAAGCACCGCACTAGGATCTGCGAGCAGCCCCTTGTTTTCTCTTTGGGGCGGGGCAGGGAGTTTGGCGCACATTTTGTTGGCGCTCTAACTGCTCCGGAGCATTTCGTTGTACTCAGATTGAATGGGAGCCAAAATGCCAAATGTAGCTGATCCTAAGACCTCATTGTTTTGACCGCTTTACAATTCTTTAGTATCATATGATTTGTCTGACATTTTTTTTGGGGTACTCTTTTTGGATGGTTCTAAAAGGGACACCAAAAAGGACAGCATATGACTTGTCCACTCCATGAAGTATGTGGGTTTGCCATATTTTTTTGGAGCTCCCTTTTTTTTAAGGGAAGGGACACCAACAGGGGTCCGATTTTGAGGCCCCATAGGTCAAAGTGGAGCCGAGTTGGATCGCTGGATCGCTTGCACTTCAGGCCCCCACTGCGAGCGCGGGGTGAAGGCCGGGCCCAACACCTCCCGGGCCCCGGGTCCCCTTTTTTTTTTGGGGGGGGGGGGATGCTTCCATTTTTTTGTTCAATGAAGATATAAAAAAGAACCTTCTTTTTTGTTGCCGGTCCCGTTTTTCTGGCTGGTGCCAGAGAGTTTCCAGCCAGGGGTCATTGTTTTGACAGTTTCTGGGCGCTATCAAAGTCAGAACATGAGGTTGTTTCCCTTTAGCCTGCCATTTAGGGGGTGACTTTAATCATGGTAGAACAATGAGGCCAGTTCCACACCATTTTTTCCCGAAAGCATTGCGAAGGGTTCTTCCGGTAAAATCGTTGCGTTCTGCATAGCTCAAGTGCATAGGAAGAAGTAGAGAGTGAGTGCACAGCTCAAGTACATAGGAACAATAGTGAGTGAATGCGTGCACAGGGAGAGCGCAGAGTGAGTGCATAGGGGCATGCATAGGGCGAGTTCAGAGTGAGTGCATAGAGGCATGCATAGGGAGAGTGCAGAGTGAGTGCATAGAGGCATGCGTAGGGAGAGCGCAGAGTGAGTGCATGGAGGCATGCATAGGGCGAGTGCAGAGTGAGTGCATAGAGGCATGCATAGGACGAGTGCAGAGTGAGTACATAGAGGCATGCATAGGGAGAGTGCAGAGTGAGTGCGTAGAGGCATGCATAGGACGAGTGCAGAGTGAGTGCGAAGAGATCTGGCATGCCATCTTGCACGAGCACATCTTGCACGAGCACATCTTGCACGAGCACAACTAGCACGAGCACAACTAGCACAGGGGAATTTGCGTTTCTTCGCGCGCGAGCACACCTTGCACGAGGAAATTTCTCACTAAATTGAAATTAGATTCTTAAGGTGGCTCGGTGGGACCGAACCTACTCTGCGAAAATGCGACCCTCTCGGGGATCGGCGTGGTCGAGGTGCAAAAACTCAAGTTTTTTTGTTTTTTTATTGATTTGCACGCGCGACCCTCTGCGGGGATCGGTGGGGTCGAGGTGCAAAAACTCAAGGTTTTTCGCGTTTTCTGTTGCACGCACGCGACCCTCTGCGGGGATCGGCGTGGTCGAGGTGCAAAAACTCAAGGTTTTTGCGATTTTGGATTCTCGCGCGCGACCCTCTGCGGGGATCGGCGTGGTCGAGGTGCAAAAACTCGAGTTTTTTTGCGTTTTTGGATTCTCGCGCGCGACCCTGTGCGGGGATCGGCGTGGTCGAGGTGCAAAAACTCGAGGTTTTTTGCGATTTGTGATTTGCCCGCGCGACCCTTTGCGGGGATCGGCGTGGTCGAGGTGCGCAAAAACTCGAGTTGTTTGTGCTTTTTTTTGCTTTGCGCGAAGTACGTTCCCGCAGCTCAAGCTGTCAAGTCGCAACTTGTATGTACGAAAGTAGTACGCGAAGTACGTTCCTGCAGCTCCGGCTGCAAAGTCGCAACTTTTAAGTACGAAAGTAGTACGGGAAGTACGTTCCCGCAGCTCCGGCTGCAGAGTTGCAACTTTTAAAACGAAAGTAGTGTGCGAAGTACGTTCCCGCAGCTCCAGCTGCAAAGTCGCAACTTTTTTGTACGAAAGTAGTACGCGAAGTGCATTCCCGCAGCTGTGGCTGGAAAGAAGTTTTATTTAGGTAAAAAAGTAGCGTGCGCGGATCATGTTGCGCAGAAATTGGGCAACTTGCGGAGAGCGATGTGCAGAATCACGCAGGACAACATGTGCAGAACGAACTTGTGTAGGAGAACGTCGGTGTCGGAACAGTGCGGTTCATTTCACGGCAAGTCTACAATCGGAATTGATTCGTCATGCCTTGCAAATTGTTGCTGTTGGCTCTGCTGCTGTGCAATCAGACAAGTGCAAGCTGTCCTTGTTACGACATTGTGCTTGTGTGCCTGGCATGTTTATTGCTGCCTCCCGCAGCTTTTTGCATGGCGCAGACTCGTGCTTGGATCCGCTGCGGACTGTGCGTCGATCCACAAGTACTTTCGTAAAAGTTTAGTGTGCAATGCCACCGCGGCCGGTGCAGGGCGCACTTGCGCCGTACGCGCGCTTGCGGCAAGGTCTCTCTGAGAAGGGAGCTCGGTGGCTCGACAACGAGTTGGACCTTTTGACGGTAAAGGATTTGCGCGCGGCTGCCGTAGCAGCTGGAGTGCCGCAGCAAGTTGCCGGGCGCTTCTTGCCCAAAGAGGAGCTGGTGTCGTTGCTTCGGTCTCATTTCCTGCCGGCCTACGGTCTACGCTGGCTTTCCGATCTACATGCGCAAGTGCCCTGGCGTGGACTATGTCTTCTTCTTGCTCTATGCTGGCTTCCCGATCTACCTGCGCAAGTAGCACGACGTGGAGTGTGTCTGCTTTTTTGCCTACGCTGGCTTCCCGATCTACCTGCGCAAGTGTCTTGGCCTGGACTATGTCTTCTTGTTGCTCTATGTTGGCTTTCCGATCTACCCGAGCAAGTGTGTTGGCCTCGCGTATGTCTTCTTCCTGCCTTACGATGGTACCTGAGCGAAAGTCGTCCTACCCGCGCAAGTGTCTTGGCGTGGGCTATGTCTTCTGCTTGCTCTATGCTGGCTTCCCGATCTACCTGAGCAAGTAGCACGGCGTGCAGAAGGTCTTCTTCATTGGTAGATGGCTTCCGTGCCTGCTGCGCGCTCCCCTCTGTCACTAGAGTGCTTGCTTAGGGTTTGTGATCGCAAAGCGCGATCCGCCGAAGGAACAGACAATTGCATTCGGCGAATGGACACAAAAGAGCCTGGTCCTAGTTGCACGTCGTGGAAAATGTTTTCGGGCCACCCGTTGTGGTCCATTTTTTGGCTGGTGCGAGAGATGCAGGGAATGTGGCATGGAATGACCCGTATAAATTAAGCCTTCTTAAAGCAAGCAAAGTCGTTCAGCAGCCGCTTTTGGTTGTCTTCAAGGGGGGGGTCTGGTTGAGTACTCAAATTTTGCCTACTTCTGTTTGGGCATATGGAGAGGATCAGAAGAAGCTGTCTGTAACTCTTCTTCCAAACTCCATGTGCAATGCAGATGCAGGGTACATTTGTAGGCCAGATGTTGCTAAGCATTGCACTGCCAACATCATGTGCCACATGGGGGTTGGTCAATCAAAAGGTAATTTACAGAGGATGACCATTGGGGGAACGACTAAAAAGATGATATCATGTCCCACCTGAGAAAGTTACAATCATTTGGGGGCCAGGAATATTGATCAACCCCCACATGATGTTTGGTGATTGCACCGGAGGATTTCCACATCAAGACCGCTAGCCCCAGGACCAAGTGATCAAAGCCACGTAGTGGAAACCAGTGGAAGTTGTGCCGATGGAAGTTGAGTTTCCGCATCGCAGAAGCTCCCCAACAATCCTTAGCAGACCGGTTACCCTGATCTTGGCATGCCAGTTTCCAGGTTCTGTCTCACTCTTGATGTGGGCGTGTGGGGGTTATGTTTCGATGTTGGCCGCTTGTGTTTTGAGTCACGGGGAACACATTGTTGATCCTCCCCGAACTCTGCAGGTAGCAGATGTGACCGACCTCAGCTGCGAGGTGCGCGTGTGGGAAGCATTGGGCTTGGCCGAAAGACATTGTTGACCATAGTTGTTCTTTTGATCGGTTAGTTTGGGTAGAAATATATGGTTCCACTTGTTCAGATTGGATGTATTCCATTCACATGGCCATCTATTTTACAAGAAGGACATCTATGATTGACTTCGAAGAAGAGACGCCAAGAAGAGAGGGTTCAGTGTGCCCAAAAAAGGATCTGACCATTGCCGGAAATGGGGAGGCTGGCATAGAAGGTACCGAGGTGACTACTGAAAAGTTGGTTTATTCCGCCTGGAAGTGTTGGTGTCTCCTCTTCCATGTAGATTCCTTTGCAGAAAAGCTCCCGGGGATGCCCTCAAGATTGACAAGCCACCCATGGAGCGGCGTACATCCGAGGGAGTATCCCAGAGGATTCCTCAAACTAAGCCGTTTCGGGTGAAGTTGCCCATTTTCCTCATGCTTCATGCAATCTCCTCTCTGCCCCTGTGTTGCTTGTGAGGAAGCCTGACCAAACGAGCACCAAGCGGACATTCCATGAGTTTCTGGATTTCCTCAGGTTATGACTTCCTCACAAGTGCCGACTTGACGTCAAGCCAAGGGCCGGCCTTTTCCCAACGAAACAGCCAAGCCCGGTGGTCGGCGGCAGGTGGGCCCCCCCGGCTCCGGCGGCATCGAGTGGCCCTGGGTCAAGAAGGTGCTCGGGGGACTTAGCGTCGCGAGGGCAGCAAACCCAGGATTTCAGAGGGCTCCTGGTAAGGGAGCCGTGCCCCGCAATGATTTGACAGAAAGAACAAGCATGGGTGTTTCCTAGGATTGGCTCCGAGAAGCATTCGGGGGCTGCGGTGCTTCCGCGCTTCCGCCCCACACGAGCAAACACGCCCACATTTGCGCTGCAAGCGCCGCGCGTTTGCTCGAGGAGATGCGCACGACGGCCTTCAGTTGCAGCCGGGGTTGGCTCGAGCCGATGTGCTCTTAGAACCAACGTTCGTTTCTGAGACTGACGTTGTAGTTTCAGGCGACCTGCACCTACGAAGGCGCTCGGCTGGCAGTGCGCAGTGACTTTGTATGGTGGTTTTGCAGCCAGTTGCGGACGTGCAGCCAGAGCTGCTTTGAAGTTCCAGCGCGGGCTGAACGCTAAGCTTTGTGGAGCACAGCGGAGCGCATCTTAGAAGCTCCGGGTTGGAATGAGGTTGGCGTGGGCTCGGGATAGAGCGGGATGGCCTTCACAAGAGGCATCATGTAGGTGACTTGAGCAAAGGGCACAGCCGTTGGACCCAACCAGCTTGGCTCTGACTAGAACTTCGAACTTCGTGACATGTTGTTTCTCAAGTCTTTGTTCTGGACATGGCTCTGAAAGAACCGAAGGCCACAACACGTTTTGTGCGCGGTTGTGTTTGTCTTTCGAGAGAATTCCCCAGCTGAAAATCCCAGGCTTGCGGTACTGAACCGCTGCAATACCCTGACAAACCTCTTGGACAACCCATAGACATTTGGGTGGCTTGTTTTTTTTTTTCCGGGGGACCCCCCAAAATGGAGTTCGGGTTTCCGTTTCCCTTTGAACCCGCCAAAAAAGGGGGGGCCCTCAACAAAAAAGACGCACATCCATTTCTTTGAACCCGCCAAAAACGGGGGGCCCTCAACAAAAAAGACGAGCCGCCCATTTCCACGAGAACCGTCTCTCAGAGCCAAATGCAAGGAACTTTTAAGCCGCCAAGACACCGGGGCGCCCCCGCAACAAAAAGACACAGCCCATTTCCACGAGAAGTGTGAGAGGGCCACCGAAGGCGCTGCGGGAGTTCTTGGGGAACCTGCGACTGCCGCCCCACGAGCGCAGCGATGCGGCCGAGGCCATGCGTTTCAAACGGACGCCCCTGAAAAGTGGCTGGTGGACAGAAATCACCACCTAAATGATGTCCACCAAAGGGTCCCCAAATGAAATTCACACCCAATTCTTGCCACATTAGAAGCTGAGGAAAAGAAGAAGCTGAGGAAAAGAAGAAGCCCCTAGGACGTTGGCACAGATCGCAGGATCTCAGCTGGATGTCTCAAGGTGCTGCCGCGCAGGATGCTGTAGTGGGCACTGTCGACTGGTGTGACCGCGTGCTGGTGCCAGCGCAGGGTGCTGGCGCAGATTGTTGGCGTAGGGTGCTGTTGAAGGGTGTGACTTGTTTCCTCTCTTCCGCTCTTTCTCTCTTCCTCTCTTTCGCTCTTCCTCTCTTCCTCTCTTTCTCTCTTCCCCTTTCTTTCTTTCTTTCTTTCTTTCTTTCTTTCTTTCTTTCTTTCTTTCTTTCTTTCTTTCTTTCTTTCTTTCTTTCTCTTTTTCTCTCTTTCTTCTCTCTCTCTCTCTCTCTCTCCTGCACTCTTTCGCTGTTTTTAGACTCTCTCTCTCTCTCTCTTTCCCTCTCTCTGCCTCAATGTCTTTCTCTTTGTCTTTCTTCGCCCAGAAGTGAAACGCACCACCCTGAGTTGAAGGTCGACCCCCTGAAAGCGCCATGCAAACCGTGAAGCAACCAAAACACAATTGTGATGGTCCACACCTTCGGATCGTACCTGGAGTCTCCTTCCGGCCCAAATCGGGTCACAACCCCAGAAAATTCTGGGTTATGACCCCATGTTAACAGGGTACAGTATTGGAGACTCTATGTAGGTGTCCTTTTTAGGTTCGTTGGGTGGAATAGATGGCCCTGGCTGACCTGTTGGTTTTGTAATCTACCAGCGCCATCTATTTTCCTCAAAAGGATACTTAGGTGCTTGATTGCTGCGAAGCTTTTGATCAGCAGTTCTCTAGCTTTTTCTGAGCTTTCTCCGCGCAGTGCGCATACTCTCAAGGACAGAATCGATTCCATTATTACCGAAGTTCTTGTTAAGCTTCCTTTGACTCGAGGAATATGTTGATATTGCGAGTCAAAGAACCGGCTTTGTTACCCACCCTTGTTGCTGGACCTGGCAAGGGAACAAGCAACACCTGGCTCATTCCCGGAGGAGGTGCGACCTCCAGGAGTATGAAGACTTTATACATCCCAGTCAAAGGCAAGGGGGATGTCCTTCACTCCAACCACCGACGCTTCGAATGAACAACTTCGCATCAAATGATTGCCAGAACTGCATGGAGTTGAGCCCTGCGCCAGGTCGACAAATTGCTGCAGCTGGTTTCAGCGCAGGACTCAGTTCGCTTGGGCAGCTGGCAAACATGGGGCCAAGTGGATGTGCGTTTTGGTCGGAAGAAACCAAGACTTGATCCTATGCCAATCAATTTGCGAAGAGCGTGCCGCTGACGACGTGCGCGAATGGTATATTTCCTTTGGACTGGGGAATAGAAGACAAAGGGTACGAGTTTGGGGCCCTCCAGGTTGGCTTGATGATTTTCTTGAGATTCGGCCCTTTGGCGTGGCTTGGAGCCGACCTCCGAACTTCCAGACCTTCGAGAGAACCAGCGCAGGCAGCAAACAGCAGACGAGCCAACATGAGCGCAGCCTGCAAAATCAGCTTCAGAAGCAGGCAGCAACATGGCCATGGGTCCATGGGTCATAACCTATGCCTCCATTTTGGGGCGGATGAAGACCCATGTACCACCAATTTTGATGTTCACCAGGGGTACAGGGTTTTGACCCACAGCAACATGACGACAGTCAGAACTCCATGCCCACATCGGCAACTGCAACGGTACGACTTGCAGCAGCTGCATCATGACTCAGCATTGGGCTGTTACCCTCTGATTCCAACTGGATTTCGACTCCCCCCAGGCCCTCTGCGCGTAGCTACGGATGTGCGTGTATCTCCGGATGGTGCGCACCCTCCCTGTTTTGGTGATTGTCAGGCGCCGCTGCAGGGTGAGTGCTACATTGGCATCATCGCCCTCGGGCAGAACCGACTCGTTCGCTTCCAACGGAGCGGGAATGGGTACTTGCTTGATTTATGGGGGGTGTCTACTATGAGCTGGAATCCATCCATCACTTCTGCGGAAACAAGCTGCCTCTCAATCCGCAAAGTCTTCTTTGTATATCTGGGGTCAAGGTTATGGCTGATCTGAAGCCCGGAACGACATTGAGCAGGTCGGTGGGGAAACTAGCTCTTCATGGCATTTCTCAGCTGATGAGATGCTCGGATGAGCAGACAGCATTGTTGGTCTACAGTTGGTTTGGGGACCAATTTGGAGAGGTTTCCACGCGGGAACCATCCAATGGTTCCATGTGCTTCTGAACGGGCCCTTCCTCGAGCACAGCTGTTCAGCTTTGCAGCGGCGCTTCTGTCGCGCAACTTGCGCGCGATCTTCGGTCAGGGCCGGTCAGAAGCCTTCGGATCATAGTTGCAAACCACGGGGTCTCGTGTTGCACGTAGGTGTGACCGTTTTGTTGAAGAGGCAAGGCAAGGATTTACCCGGTACCAGCCAGTAATTCGGGTGTTGGGATGCACCCAGATGACTAGACGAAGGGGCCGGAGCTCCGTTTTGGTGTTCTGCTTCCGCGGCTTTTTGCCACGGACCGGGGGCGCAGTTTGGGCCACGGGAAGCCAACAGGACACCAAGCAGGAAACCAACTTAAGAGACAAAGAAGCAAACCGCCAAGGCTCCAAAACCAAGGCTTGCTTGTGCTGTTTGCTTTTGGAGCCTGCGCTTGGCTGCAAAGCCAAGTTGTCTGGATCCCCAGAGGTTCCGGGCTCCGACCGAAACGGCCGAACCGCAGCGGAACCCGTCACCCGTCGCCAGGTTCTTCTCCTACCACTTCATGGAGCCCACGGAGCGGCAGGAGTTCCTACGCCCCATGGATTGGGAGAGTTTTTGGGTTTTTGGGCTGGGCGGTTTGGAGTCTTCCCTATGGTTGCAAAAAGGAGTTGGGGTTTCACATTTGGGTGGCTTCATGGTTGGGTTGGTTGGGTTCTGGTTGGGTGGTTTGGGTTGGGTGCTTGCTCCCACCTTAACCTGACGTTGGGGTCCTGTTTTGGTTGCCATTCTCCTTTCAAAGGGACCGGGTCCCGCAAGTCAGAGTCCATGTGAATTGGTTCAGGGATGAAAAATCCGGTGTGCTGGGAGGTTTTTGGGGGATGATGTCTTTGGATCTCTTGAAGAGACTTCGGGGGATGGTCCCCATGTTTCCCAAGCCACTCCAAGCCAAAAGGGGTTGAGACAAGGACTTGAAGCCAGGGCCAAGAGAAAGCAACACTCTGCAACCACCTTCTTTCTAGAAAACCTCCGGAAACCCCGCAAAAAACAGCGATCGGTTTTTGAAAAGAATGATGGTTTTTGAAAAGAATGATGGTGGCAAAGAATGGACAAGAAATCAACCCTAGAAAAACGAACGACGACCCCCCCAACAGCGGGAGTTTTGCGCGGGAGTTTTGCGCGGGGTGGGGGGGGGGGGGTGGGGGCGGGCGTGTAGGACACCTATGGTGAGGGAGGTTTTGGGCCCCCCCCTTTCTGCGGGAGTTTTTTTCGGGGGTGGGGGGTGTTAGAGGGAGATGTTTGTGGGGTTTGCGGGTTTTTTGCTGATATATATATATATA